TGCGAATCAAAGTTGATCGCCTCTAGGATCACCTCGGGAAGGTTTGCACGGAATGTGTGGTAGTGGTGGGCCCTTGACCTCATATCATAGTGAATGCAAAATGACTGAGATGATTAAAACATGCAAATACAAACGTATGAATAAGAGTACAGGGGGAATACGAAACGACCTACACTAGCCATGTACTCCAAGGGGTACGTTCCCTTATTACAGCGAAATCCAACCGTGCGACTCCAAACGGTTACAGACTGTTCCGGCAGAATCCTCGCCACTGCTGCTGGCTGATGGTGTCAACCCTGACGGTCCAGATTGCCAAATTGCTTGTATGTCTCTAAGCTGAAGTGGGGCATACTCTAAAGGGTACAACACTTTAGGTAAACCCTATTTGTATCACCTTGCTGCATAATCCATTCATCCTTGCACGTTATTTCTGACATGGTTTCAGAGCAGGTCCATCGTAGGACCACTCGTTTAGGGCCCACGGTTAGTTCCGTTCTCCCTATTCTTCTGTCCTAAGGGTACAGGAGGAGACTCTCTCGCCCGAGCGGCTTCGCGAGTGAGCTGTCCGGTGGGGCAGCCCTGGTGGTGGAGCTAGCCGTGCTCAAGCTGGAGGTGCTGGGGCTACTGGAGCTGGAGGTGTTGGTGCTGGTGGTACTGAAGCTGTAGGTGCTGGAGGTCTTGGTGTTGGAGACGCTAGTGCTGGCGGTACTGGTGCACGTCGGCAGGAGACTCTCTCGCCGGAGCGGCTGTGTGAGTGGGCTGTCCGGTGGGGCAGCCCCGGTGGCGGAGCTAGCCATGCTGGTACGGTTGGAGCTGGTGGTCCTCCTAGACTCGTTCCTGAGGTTCTGGGGGTGCGATTACTCAGCTGCAGCCGTCTGCACTCACCACCTTCTCAGTCTCCCACCTGCTGCTACTGAGTTCACTGTCCCTGGTACTACTCCTTCGTTACTGTTCCCACCCACTGCCCAGTCGCAGCCAGTGTTACTGCCTGACTCCCCACTGCCTGCTCCTGCTCCGTACACTGAGGTGATAGACCCCCTGACAGAGACTAAAGAGCCTACCTCTCATGCTTCCACACCTGTTCGTGCTCGTCATATTGCCCGTCCTCGTGCTCCAGCTGTGCCAGGCACTCACTATATGGCACTTCGTCCTTCCTCTGTTCCACATCGTGTTGCCCTACCGTCTCCTCTGGCCTCCTCTCTTCTTGACGTTGCTGACCCTTCGTCCGACCTTGCTCGTGCTGCTAGTCCTACTGTCACTCATCTCCTCGCCACCGTTGTCACTGACCCTTCCTTTGAGTCTACTGCTGTGTTTTCCCTAGTCACTGAGCTTGTCGACTTTGCTGCTACCCGTCGTCTCGGCTACGTCGCGTGTCTTGTTTGAGTCTGAGTCTGTCTTTCCTCCATCCGTAGGGGGTGAGCTCGAGTGTCTCACAACCGTTTTACCCCGTTTCGCGTCCATGCTGCTTTGCCCCGAGGAAGACCCGGGTGCACTGAACATCCCCACCCCGCACTCTTACGCAGAGGCGATCACGGGTGAGTACTCCTCTTAGTGGCAGACAGCCATGGACACAGAGATGGCTTCCTGGAAATCCACATGCACCTACGTCGATGGGTTTCCCTTTCCTGGGGCGAACATAGTCGATGGCATGTGGATTTTCATAGTGAAGCGGCCACTGGGTTCTCCGCCTGCCTTCAAGGCGCGTTACGTTGCTCGAAGCTTCAGTCAGCGACAGGGGGTCGACTTCTGCCAGACCATCTTCCCCACCCCAAAGATGACCACTCTTCGGGTGTTACTGCACGTTACAGCACAGCGTGACTACGAAGTCCAATCCCTCAACTTCTCCACAACTTTCTTGCAGGGCAGCCTTCACGAGGAGATCTGGCTGCGCCGCCCACCTGGCTTCACTGGGTCGTTTCCTGAGGGTACCTAGTGGAGTCTCCGGTGGCCAGTCTACGGTCTCCGCTTGATGCCCCGCGGGTGGTACGACACACTGAGGACGACACTTGCAGCTCTTGGGTTTCCTCCTTCGACTGCTGACCCGTCGCTGTTTCTGCGCACCGACCCTACTCTGCCGCCGTTCTACATCCTCATGTACGTCGACGACTTGGTCTTTGCTGTTGAGGCACTAACCCTTGTGAAGGCGGAGCTGTAGAAGAAACACACGTGCACTGACATGGGTGAGCTGCGTAGTTATCTTGGCTTGGAGATCACCCGAAACAGAGCACGGCACACCATCACTTTGACCCAGTCACACATGGTGCACCACGTCCTTAAGCGTTTCGGCTTTCAGTTCTCCTCGCCACAGCGCACTCCTCTGCCTACAAGCCACTTGCTCTCAGCTCCACCTTCGGACGAGTCCGTAGAGCTGAGTGGCCCGTATTCATAGCTTGTGGGCTGCCTCATGTACCTGATAACGTGCACATGACCTGACCTCGCGTACCCTCTCAGCATCCTTGCTCGCTTCGTCACGCCCGGGCCACACAGGAAGGAGCACTAGACAGCTGCGAAGAGGGTACTGCGTTACTTGTGCAGTACATCGGGCATGGGGCTTGTGCTTGGAGGACGGGTTTCAGTGGTACTTTCCGGGCACTCCGACGCTTCTTGGGCCGATGGCCAGGCGACTCACTGGGTTACTCTTTCAGTCTCGGCTCTGGTCTTGTCTCGTGGAGGTCCACTTGTTCGTCTTCTGTGCTTGGTTCCAGCTGTGTGGCCGAGATCTACGCTGGGGTCATGGCTGCACATGAGTTACGCTGGCTCACTTACCTGCTGTCTGACTTGGGTGAGCGGCCTCGTCCTCCTCCAGTTCTGTATGTCGACAACAAGGCTATGATTGCCCTGTGTCAGGAGCAGAGAATGGAGCACAGAACGAAGCATATTGCTCTTTGTTACTTTCTTGCTCAGGAGTTGCAGCAGCGTGGTCAACTGTGCCTTGCTTACATGGCCTCTCGGGCCAACACTGCTGATGTCTTCACCCAGGCTCTTGTGCCTAGTGATCATTAGCATTTCTGCACTGCGTTAGGCCTTGTGCCAAGTCTGCCTCACCTGCTGGTTGCTTGACTTGTCATTTATATATACCTGGATGCTTGTTCTTGTTAGGTTGTGATCACTGTATTGCTTGTGCTTTTATAACTCTGCATAAGAACTGGCCTTGTGGCCGCTTGCTTGTGCTCAGAATGCGTGGTGATCTTGAGATCCACCCTGAGCTTTGCTTTGCTTTGTTCTCTTGCTTGAGTGGTCTTGAGACCGTTGGTTGTGTATGTTATCCCCCACTTTGCCTATGGGGGTGTGTCAAATTGCTTTGTATGTCTCTAGGCTGTATTAGGGCATACTCTAAGGAGTACAACACTTTAGGTCAACCTTATTTGTATCACCCTGCTGCATAATCCATTCATCCTTGCACGTTATTTCCGACACAGATCCCTCGTAACCGTGCGCGACTCTTCGCGTCATTCCGCCTCTTCGTCTTCAGTCTCGGTGCTTTGTGCTTCGCTTGCTGCTGTCAGGAGTGCACAATGCCCTTTCTCAATTTTACTATTCGTAACAGGGATCAGGAACCACGCTCCTCACCTTCCCCCTCCTGTCACAGCCAACCAATCCCATCGCCATCCCTTGGAAATTCCCCGTGGAAGTGGTGAATGGCGACGGGATGGCATGGGGCGGGGAGGTTGCCTGGGGACGAAACTGCTACCCCACTTCCAACAGCCATGAATCTGTCCGAAATGAGGTCAAATTGATGGTGTTCACCAGGCCATCATGATTCCATTTGGTTCGGATGGAATCGTAGGTTCGGCACGAATTTCACCGGCTGGCCATCCTGACGGACGTTAACGAACCCTAACAGACGGGATCAGGAAGGCATGGCTGACCTTCCTGATCCCGTCCATTTTGCACATACTTGTGCTGGCGAACAGGGCCATTGTGATTGGCGAGCTGAGGGTAACCACAAGTAGATCCAAATGAGTGACAAATAGGCCATCGTTTACGCCCAATTTTGCCCTCTCGAACACCTCGAACTTGAGCTGGCTCTGCACATATCTTTCCGATTTTACCCTATGTACAAGTTTTGGGCCCCCAGTCAGGCAATGGTCAGCCACGCTAAAAAATTGTGCTAGGAGGGGGAAGTTGGGGATGGGGGTTCCTGATGCTGTTGCCACGTTTCCTATTTCATGTGCGAAATTTCGCGAAGTAGCATTCAGCCAAAACCGATTCCCTGGGTTCCGCCCCCGGTTCCTGATTCCACAGCCATCTTAAAGCCCGAGTACAACATGGTAATTTTCAAGTTCAAGATTTTTGAACTTGAAATCGCAAAAAACAGGGTTACCTTACTTGTTTTTAAGAAACTCTTGCGACCCTGGGCAATCGTCCTGCGACAACAAAACCCGAGTGCCCAAAAACAGATTTGACGCGATGATCGCCAACCATATGCATTGTGCACCACTCACATAACTTGGACACCAAGTCGTACTCATAAACTAGGAGGCTCCAAGGCAACAACTAGCGCTAGTTGGCAAAAGCGAGTCGTTGATAAGGTTTTTTTTTTTTTGCGGAAAGATATTTAGGTATCACCCTCAACTCAACCATCTTAGTCAGTGCATGCTCCATTTCCCCCCTCACATCGCCGGTCTCGTGTTGCAACCCGCGGCACTTACGTTAGTAAACGTGTGTCGCGCTACTCGCGCCTTGCATTCAAGCTCGCGTCGCACACGCAGGCTCTTGTCACACACGCTGCAGTTTAGCCTCGTGTCACGATCGTACCGTTTTAGGCACGGGTCGCTCACGCGAATGCTGTACAGGTTCGCGTGACGCACGCTGCCGTTAATCGCGTATGTTCCCCCTCATCGGCCGCTCTTTCCCATGTCATACCGCTTTCCTCGTCGCCCGCGCTTTCCCTCATCACCCTCGCCAACCCTCGTCGCCCTCGCCTCTGCTTGTCGCCCACGCGTCCCGTCCTCGCCCTCGCTTCCTCGTCACTCGCGCTTCTCCTCTTAACTTACCCGTCACGCGCTCGTCCCCTCGTCACGCGCTCGTCGCCCTCCCTTCCGCGCGTCGCCCTCCCATCCGCCCGTCGCTCTCCCTTCCGCCCGCTGCCCTCCCTTCTCCTCGTCGCCCTCCCTCCGGCTCTTCCCCTCGCAATGCCCGTCTCCCTCTCTCCCCGTCGCCCTCGCTGGAATGCTGGCGGCAGCGCACGTCAAGGCATGCGCGATGGGGCAAGGCTGATCTGCGCTGTGGTGGGCCGGGGGAGTGCAGAGTGGTGCAGGGAAAGGCACGGCATGTCGTTATGTGGCCGGCCGAGACCCTTATGAGTTGCGGGATCTGAGCTTGAGAGTGTACGTTTGGAAATGTATTGCTAATGCGTTTCTTGATGTGTCCTTTTATGAATCACAATTTGCTGTCAATGCTTTTCTGCGCCAATTCAGCACTCGGTATTTTTTGTTAGTCTGAAATTGTTATCTCCGAACTGTTGATGTACCACGATGTCATTTCTGTAAGAGCTTGTCCTTGGTATTTATTCATGTATAGCCTGCCCACGTTACTGTATAGGAAAGGAGGTCCCTCACTAGGGTGCAATATAGATTAATCCATTGAAATCACCCGCTGTGACTTGTGGAAACCAATAATAATAATAATAATAATAGTAGTAGTAATAATAATAATAATAAATCCATCACATTACCTCTTAGTCACCAACAAGAGCCTGCCCCTGACATATAGGTGCATCGTCACATACTTGAAACCTGAGCCCGGCTCGAATCCTCATAATATCCTTTGAAAAAGACGACGCATCTGTCCCCGAAAACACATCTGCCATAGCGCATATCACCTTATCGAGCATAGCTTGTACAGTGAACATGTGGGTGAAATGGGCCTGAGTAAGCACTGCCGCCCATACCTCGCCTGTCAGGGACGTCGGCTGCCGAACCAGCCTCAGGTTCGGGATGTAGGTACGGATGATTGTCTCGAGCTGATTCACCTGTAGGGAAAAGTGTGCGGGGTCAGGGATGAGAGAATTTTGAGAGCCTCGAAAACAGGTGCAGGGAGGCAAGAGGGTATGGGCTATAGGAAGGACAACAGAAGACCAAGTATAGAATGTAACAACTCGTCTCAATTGTAAGGAGCCAGCTCTCTCCTACCTCCTCGTCATTCGTGTCAGTTGCCAGGAACAGTGTAGTCAAATTGCCGGACCGAATCATTTTCCTAGCCACGCATCTCCCTGTCTGCTCCACCGTCAGATGTGACAGCGGATCCTTGAAACTTTTAATCGGGTCCGTCCGTCTCCAGTGAATCGCCATGTACCGTCCGATCGCCAAACTGCTGTTCTCATCCCCACTGCTGCTGTTGTTCCCCTCCCCACTGCTGCTAGCTGCGCCACTGCTGCTGCTGCTGCTGCTGCTACTATCAGTGCTGATCCTATTGCAGCTGTTGCTGGCACTGGTGTTACTTCTAGTGCTGCTACTGCCATCAACACTGCTGCTATTTTTCACTTCCCATTCCCGAGGCAGCCCCTGCAAAAGCCTCGACCGCACAAACGCATCTGCTGCTTCCAAAATCACAGGATGCGGTTTGACGGCCAGCGGATCCGGGCAGCCCTGGAGACGAAAAAACGGAAGGTCGACATTATGCATAAACCTACCATCCTCCATCTTCGTAGCATCTATAGTCAATGACCCGAGGTCACTGAAGGTGATGAGCCGAGCCGAGGGTAGAAGCATGGAATTTACCCGGTGGAAATCGGTGATTTTGATTGGATGGTCATGGACAAACCCGCCGTTCGTCCACTTTAGGTTCGGCGAGTAGCCAATGCCGGTTAGGTTCGGCAGGAGGTCCGAGATGCCGATGTGGACCTGGTTGTAACACCGACCAGTCAAACAGACTATCTGATCTACATCAATCCTAACATCCCCGCCTCCCTTTCCTCCTCCCCATCCTGCACCGCCCATCCTCCTCTCCCTCTCCTCCTGCAAAAGCTCATCCCTAGAGAGAACAGTCTGGGGGCCGAAGCAGTGGCGTGTGTGGTTGACATCGAAGTACGCGCGGCGGTCGTAGTTATAGGTGATCTCGTCGGCATGCAGAGGGACAACTAGAGTGCGATTCAGATAGCCCGCTGCCCGGAGGTAGTTCCTGATGCACCGCACCCGGTTGCTCATCTGGTGCAGTGCGGTGGAGTGGAGTGGGGTGGAATGGGGTAGGGTGGAATGCAGTGGGGTGGGGTGGGGTGGGGGGGGAGTGGGCAGAGGGTAACATAATGAGCTGCGATTCAAGTAGCCCGCTGCCCGGAGGTAGTTCGTGATGCACCGTACCCGGTTGCTCATCTGGTGGAGTGCGGTGGGGTGGGGTGGGGTGGAAGGCAGTGGGGTGGGGAGGGGTGGAGTGGGGTGGGTGGGTGAGGCATGTTGACGAGCATTGGGCATCACAAGCAAGAGGTAGTCCTTGCTGCACCGCGCCCGGCTGCTCATCTGGTTCCCCTCACCTGGTTCCTATGGCAGTCCATCAACACGTATTTGCCTGCCTGCGGCTGCCATGCGATCGACCCCGTCCCGTAAAGCTTCTCGTAGCTCTGAATCTTGCCGCACACGCCTGCTGCCACCTTTTGCCGGTCCTCCTCGTCCTTCTCCTTGTGAGTAAATGGCTTCACCCTGGGGACATAGGGACGGAGAGAGACGGAGAGATAAAGGGTACATTCAGCATCTGTCAGCATATGCTGCTGCTGTTCTAGGCGTCGTCCCATACAGCTTTGCATAGCTCTGGGACTTCGCTTCTCACACACGCCTAGGGAGTGCAAAGGGAGTTATTTGGCTGGTGAGGGACTCACTCTCTCACCCACTCACTCACTCACTCACTCACTCACTCACTCACTCACCCACTCATTCACCCACTCACTCACTCACTCACCCACTCACTCACTCACTCACTCACCCACTCACTCACCCACCCACTCACCCACTCACTCACTCACCCACCACCCACTCACTCACTCACCCACCCACACACTCACCCACCTACCCACCCACCCACTCACTCACTCACTCACTCACTCACTCACTCACCCACTCACCGACTCACTCACCCACTCACCGATTCACTCACTCACTCACTCGTGCTCACACGCACTCACCAGTCGAGTCTGATGGGTCGGTTAGTGGCACCCTCTGCACCTGCCACACTCATTCCTTCTTCACCAGCCTGCATTCCTCCACTCCCTCCTTCCGTGCTCCTGCCTTCCTGTCCCTTTCCCCCTTCCTGGTTGTTTCCTCCTTCCTCGCTCTTTCCTCCCTCGGCGGACCGAGCATCTCCCGCTGACGACGACGATGACGCCAGAATCTGAATTTCTGTCTCGATAGCCCCAACCTGGCCTATTATCGATTCATCTACTACCGGATCTTGCAATAACCGTCTCCTTTTCCTTATCTTCAGCCCAGCTCCCATCTCGACCGTATCTCGAGCTAATCTAGCCATATCCTCGTTTATTTCGGCTGTACTGAGAAGGATATTCGCCGGATAATCGTCTTTTTCCGCTGCACGTTGCTCTGAGTCGACTGCGTCTCTTCGCCCAAACGAAACCTCGGCCTCTGCGTCTCGAGACGTCGCATCCTTGTTTCTTTCCCCTGCACGTTGCCCTGAATCGCCTGCTTCATTCCGCCCATACAAATCCTCTGCCTTCACCTGCTCCCGAACCACAGTTCTCTTCCTCCGAACCACTTCGTAACCCCGAGAAGATGTTTCAAACGCCTCGATAATACCCTGAACAATATCCCGGCTTTCCACGTGGCTCTCTTGCGACACTCCTTCGAATCTCAATCTCGGTACTCCCGATAATTTCGCACTGGAACCTTCACTGTAGCCAGCCTCTCCAGCTAATTCCCTTCCACTTGCGAACCTCTGATCTTGCCATTGTAACGAGACGACTGTAGCGAGGATGGCACACGCAATCCGCAGGCGATATCTCATGCTTTAATTCGCTGATCTCTGCCGATTTTCCCAGGAGCCGACGATAAAGCACCAGATCTTAACGCAAACAGTGGAAGCAAGTGAAACAGTAGCTAACTTGAGGGATGGCGAGGTTAGGAGCAGGCGCGACGTGAAGTGACAGAAAATAGGCAGAACCGATATTGTTGACAAATATTTTGTCAAGTTGAAATGCTGACAAGCAACGCCGTCACTGCACCAATCACCTAGTGCAATCAGCGATCATCACTTGATAGCGGCGAAGACTCCTTATATCGTGGCGTGATTTTTGAGCGGTGCGGACGAACTACATGGTTGTACTTCGTCGCTTGATTGCCACGCTGCTGCTGTTGGATGGTTGGGTGGGGAGTGGAAAAGTTTACGTACAATACGGTTCAATAAGATTTTCTACGATGCCGAATGATTAATAAAGTTAAAATGAAAGGTTGGATAGGGTTCTTTCTGAGCTCAATTCAAGTGCCGTCCAGCACCACCTCGGCAATCTCATGGGGTGCGCTACCGGCCTGCAACCCGTTATTGCGTCATTCAGTATATTACTAGCACATTTCCATAAAACGTGATTCTTTTGTATTTTCTCGTCACTAGGTAGGGTGCATAGAGTTTAGGGCAATATGTGGAAAATTATGGCAAAGTGGGTCCCCGTTCCTGCAGCAAAAATGGTAAGCAAATCATGACAATGATGAATAATTCACCATAATCACCTTTCGCCAACAAGAGCCTGCCCCTGACAGATAGGTGCATCGTCACATACTTGAAACCTAAGCCCGGCTCTGATCCTGGTAATATCCAATGAAAAGGACGACGCATCTGTACCCGAAAACACATCTGCCATAGCGCATATCACCTTATCGAGCATGGCTTGCACAGTGAACATGTGGGTGAAATTGGCTTGTGCAAGCACTGCCGCCCAGTCCTCGCCTGTCAGGAATGTCGGCTGCCGAACCAGCCTTAGGTTCGGGATGTAGGTACGCATGATTTTCTCGAGTTCTTTCACCTGTAGAGGGGTTGGGGATGTAGTAAGAATGTTTTGAGAGCCTCTAAAACAGGTGCTGGGAGGCAAAAGGGCATGGACTATAGAAAGAATCCTACAAGCAACCGTAAATGAAAAAAAACATATCTAAGTTTGCTCACCTCACCTTGAAAGCAGTAGACACTATCAGTATGCATGTTCCTCACCTCATCTTCAATCGCGTCAATTGCATACAGAGTTGGCGAGTTCTGAAACATGAGTCCTCCTGAATGAATCAACTATTCTATTGGACAGTACAATGTTACCACTATCTGTAGGTCACTCACCTCCTCGTCATGTGTGTCAGTCGCAAGGAACAGACTTGTCAAGTTGCCCGATCGAATCATCTTGCAACAAGCTGAGTAAAAAAAAAAAACTCTCTATATCTCACCTCCTCATCATTCGTGTCGGTTGCCAGGAACAGCGTTGTCAAGTTGCCCGAACGAATCATCTTCCTAGCCACGCATCTCCCTGTCTGCTCCACCGTCAGATGTGACAGCGGGTCCTTGAAACTTTTAATCGGGTCCGTCCGTCTCCAGTGAATCGCCATGTACCGTCCGACTTGCAGACTGCTGTTCCCCTCCCCACTGCTGCTGCTGTTGCTGGCACTGGTGCTACTTTCAGTGCTGCTGCCACTGTCACTGGTGCTGCCATTTTTCACTTCCCATTCCCGAGGCAGCCCCTGCAAAAGCCGCGACCGCACAAACGCATCTGCTGCTTCAAAAATCACGGGATGAGGTTGGATGGCCAGAGGGTTCGGGCAGCCCGGGACACGAACAAACGGAAGGTCCAGATTGTTCATAAACCTGCCATCCTCCGTCCTAGAAGCGTCTAGAGTCATCGCACCCAAGTCACTGAATGTGATGAGACGAGCCGAGGGAAGCAGCATGGAATCTACCCGGTGGAAATCGGTGATGTTGATTGGATGGCTCTGGACAAACCTGCCGTTCGTCCACTTTAGGCTCGGCGAGTAGCCGATTCCGGTTAGGTTCGGCATGCGGTCCGGGACGCCCATGTGATCCTGATTGTAACACCGACCAATCAAACAGACTATCTGGTCCACATTCACCGCAACATTCCCCCCTGCTTCTCCGCCCCCCCCTCCCCCTCCGCCTTTTCCCCCTCCATCCGCCCCTCCCGCACCACCCATCCTCCTCTCCCTCTCCTCCTGCAAAAACTCATCCCTAGAGATAACAGTTCGGGGGCCGAAGCAGCGGCGTGTGTGGTTGACGTCAAAGTATGCGCGGCGCTCGTAGTGATAGGTGATCTCGTCGGCATGCAGAGGGACGACGAGCGTTCGATTCAAATAGCCCGCTGCCAGGAGGTAGTTCTTGATGCACCGCACCCGGTTGCTCATCTGGTGGAGAGTGGTGGAGTGGGTTTGGGTGGGGTGGGGTGGGGTGGGGCGGGGTGGGGAGGGGTGGAGAGGGGTGGGGAGGGGTGTATCGATGAGCGTGTGTGGTTGACGTCAAAGTATGCGTGGCGTTCATAGTGATAGGTGATCTCGTCGGCATGCAGAGGGACCACGAGTGTGCATGCAGAGGTTCAAGTACCCCGCTGCCAGGAGATAGTTCTTGATGCACTGCACATGGTTGCTCATCTAGAGGGGTGAGGAAGGGTGGAGTGCGGTGGTAAGGGGTGGGAAAGGGTGGGGTGGGGTGGGGAGGGGTGGAGAGGGGTGGGGAGGGGTGTGTTGATCAGCGCGTATGGTTGACATCAAAGTATGTGCGGCGCTCGTAGTTATAGGTGATCTCGTCGGCATGCAGAGGCACCACCGGCGTGCGGTTCAAGTAGCCCGCTGCCAGGAGGTAGTTCTTGATGCACCGCACCTGGTTGCTCATCTGGTGGAGCGTGGTGGAGAGGGTGGGGTGGGGTTGGGTGAGGTGCGTTGATGGGCGCTGTGCAGCATAACAAGAAGTAGCCCCCTGCCATGCAAGGGAGGGGCTCGCACTGCACGCATACACACACCTCTCCCCCTCCCAGCACCCCAAATTTCACTCACCTGGTTCCTGTGGCAGTCCATGAGAACGTACTTGTCGGCCTGCGGCTGCTGCCACCACGCACTGAGAGACCCACCCACACCAAATACCGTTCTCCACTCCTCCCAACCGCCTCACCTGGTTCCTGTGGCAATCCATGAGAACATATTTGTCTGCCTGTGGCTGCCACGCAATCAGCCCTTCCCCATAAAGCTTCGCATAGCTCTGGATTTTGTCACACACGCCTGCTGCCACCTTCGTCTTGTCCTCCTCGTCCTTCTCCTTGTGGGTAACTGGCTTCACCCTGAGGACGGATTTAAGCAAAGGCAGAATCAGCGGAAGAGAGGAAAGGAGTAGAACCGGCTTTTTAAAAAAGAAAAAAAGAAAAGAAAAAAAAGATAGTGGCTTTCAGCCTCTGCTGCTATCATCTGCCGGCCCTCCTCGTCCTTCTCCTTGTGAGTCACTGGCTTCACCCTGTGGGCCATGGGTGGGAGAGACGGAGAGAGAAAGAACAAACTTTCAGCAGATTTCAGCACAGGCCGCGGCCATCTTGTGCTGGCTGTGCTGGGCATTTGCTTATCTCCGTGCGTCACTGGCTTCGCCCTGGGGGCACAGGGAGGGAGAGAGGGAGACAGAGAGAAACGCTTTTGGCAGAGGCTGTGGCCATCTTGTGCCGTTCTTCCTTGTCCTTCCTTTCCTTGGTCTCACCAGCCAAAGTACCCCCTTTCTTTTCCTTTCTTGCACACAACTGGTTTTATCTTGCAGCAGCAGAGGGAGAATGGGAGGTACTTTGGCTGGTGAGCCACTCCCTCCCTCCCTCCCTCCCCCGCTCCCTCTCTCCCTCCCCCATTCTCACCCTCCCTCCCTTCCATCCACCCTCCTTCCCTCCCTCCCTCCCTCCCTCCCTCCCTCCCTCACTCCCTCACAAACTCACTCACTTACTCACTCACCAATCTAGTCTAATTGGTCGGCTGGCAGACATGGTATCAACAGTAGCTACTTTGCCCGCGCTCTCCTTCTCCTCCTTCTCCTTCTCTTCAACCCCTCTTTCCCCCTCTCCTGCCCCTGCTTCCGTGCTCGTGCCTTCCGACGCAGTCTGACCCTCTTTTGCTGACGAGGATGATGACGTCAGGATCTGAGTCAGCTCGCTTTTCACCCCTGACGCCCGTTGCAACAGCTCGCTGGTCCCATTCACGCTGCTGACGTCACCACTTGCCCCATTGACGTCACCGCTTGCCCCCCTGACGCCACCGTTTGTCCCATTGAGGACACTGCTATTGCTGCTGATAGACCCGTTATTAGCCTTCCGCTGCTCCGCTAAAGTGTCCTGAATCTCTTTTTCAATAGTCTCAACCCGGCCTATTCCAGATTCATCTACAACTGGGTCTTGCAATAAACGTCTCCTTTTCCGTTTCGTCAACCCAGCACCCATCTCGCCCGTATCTTGAGTCGATCCTGTTCGTCCTGGCAGCGTTCCCGCATCTGACCAGCTATTTTCTATTTGCAGTAATACCAACCCAGTGCTCTTATCCACGGATCCTGAATTAGGTTCCCAGCTGATGCCAACCTCTCCAGCCATTTCCCTTCCAGTTGCGAAACCATTATCCTGCCATTGTAACGAGACAATCGTAACGAGGATAGCACACGCTATCCGCAGGCGACGGGTCATGCTTTCATCTGCTGCTCTCCACAGATTCTCCTAGGCGTTTGACTACCTGGTACAGAGTTCAGACGCAAGTTCACAGTCGTTAAGAAGCTATTGGCAACGGTCAAACGCTAAGAAGCGGACTGACGGTGCGTAGATCAGGAACATGAGAGAATCATATGTACGACGGAATAAATTACGGACGGAGCCGACCTATTGCCGCAAATTCTGGTTTCCCAACCATCACCACATTACTGTACTACTGATGCATTTTCACTTCACTCAAAATACATTCCTGTAACTAATAGATCGTTTAGTACCGTCGTCATCACGCCAATCGCACGACACAACCAGCCATACTGTCCGACTGACTACGGTACCTGTCTATTTGTGACAAAAGCAAAGCACTGTCCCAATGATCACAGCGGGCTGGTAGGATGTCGTACGAATTCGATCTAGTACGGTTCATGTTTACTTCAGAGAATTTTCAACAGAGGATAGAGTGGTACTGTATGGTTTTAGGCATTCATACGCTTACACTACTTGCTGGGTTGTTTGTTGCTGGTCAGTTTTGTGTGTGGTCGTCATTTCGCCAATTGCATGAGGGCCAGCCCACAAGCCGGGGGGTGACTTCAGGGGAGACTTGGAGTGAGGTTCGGTTCGGTTCGGAGCCTTGTTCATGGGTTTGGAGAAATCTGATAAGTACACCGCAAAGCGTTCTACTAAAAAAGGCCATCAAAATAATTTATATTATGTTAATTGACAAAGCTCGCTTTCTGTTCTTGCAAAGGCAACGTGCTTCATTATGTTAATTCCAATATTTTCTGAAACCACAACTTATTGGCAAGCAGGTAAGCATTTATCGTCATTGTTCATCCATAAACCATCATTCAGATCCAACCAAATTGCGCTTTTACCGTAGGTATTTTAAAACACAACAGTGTCTAGCATCGTGCCTAGTGTCTGCACGATGTTGGACGACATGAGTGTTGACACATGCTCCTCCAGATGCTTCTTCGCATCCTGCCTCCCCACACTCGCAATCGCAAACTTCTCGGTTGACAACGTGTCCTCCTCCTGTACTGCCTTGTTGTATTTCTGGGCCAACTCCAACATGTCCTGTTGAGCAAGCATAAGGGGTTGGCAGGAAAGGGGGGATGGGGCCGACATGAGTGTCGACACATGCTCCTCCAAATGCTTCTTCGCGTCCTGCCTCCCCACACTCGCAATCGCAAACTTCTCGGTTGACAAAAGTATCCTCCTCTTGAACTGCCTTGTTGTATTTCTGTGCCAACTCTAACATGTCCTGTTGAGCAGAGGCAAATGGGTGGAGGGAGGGGAGATGAACAGGGAGTGGGGAACGGGAATGGGGGGAGGAGAAGAGGGAACAACATATCCTCCTCTTGCACGGCCTTGTTGTATTTCTGGGCCAACTCCAACATGTCCTATTGAACAGGGGCATGGGAAGGAGGAACGGGAACAGTGGGAAGGTGAGGGAGGGGAAGGGGGAATGGGAAAGGAGGAAGGAGTAGAGGGAACAGAGTATCCTCCTCTTGCACTGCCTTGTTGTATTTCTGAGCCAACTCTAGCATGTCCTGCTGGGCAGGGGCATGGGGGGAAGTGGTGGGGGGAGGTGGGAGGTGGAGAGGAATGGGGAATGGGAAACGGAAAGGGGGGAAGGAGATGCGAAAACAACACTTCTTCCTCTTGCACTGCCTTGTCTTTCTCGGGCAACTCTAGCAATGTCCTGTTGCGCAGGTGCATGGGGACGAGGGGGAGGGAGGGACGGGGGGAAGAGGGGAGTGGGGAGGGGGGAGGTTTGCTTGTTCTACTGCCTGTTATACTCTATGCTTTATCTGCACAATCTGCTCGTTTGCCTTGTCGCATAAGGCTAAACCCCTCACCTGCACGATCTGCTCGTCCTTCTTGTTGTGGCTCTCAAAAGGCTGCAGCGTCAGCCCGTGCGCCCACTTCTTCTTGTGCAGGTTCAGCAGCATCTTCTCCTCCAGCTCGTTCTCGCCCCAACACCTTCCAGTTGCGGTGACTGGCTGACACCAGGGATACTCTAAGCCTCACCTGCACGATTTACTCACTCTTCTTGTGCAGGTTGAGCAGCATCTTCTCCTCCAGCTCGTTCTCGCACCACTGCCTACCAGTTCCAGTTCCAGTTCCAGTTCCAGTTCCAGTCTGCTCGTTCTACCGCTTGCTATACTTTTATGACTTTACCTGCTACGTGTAGAAAGTAGATTTTTGAGACGTCTCAAAACGACTTTACCTGCTCTTTTTGAGACGTCTCAAAACGACTTTACCTGCTCTTTTTGAGACGTCTCAAAACGACTTTACCTGCTCTTTTTGAGACGTCTCAAAACGACTTTACCTGCTCTTTTTGAGACGTCTCAAAACGACTTTACCTGCTCTTTTTGAGACGTCTCAAAACGACTTTACCTGCTCTTTTTGAGACGTCTCAAAACGACTTTACCTGCTCTTTTTGAGACGTCTCAAAACGACTTTACCTGCTCTTTTGAGACGTCTCAAAACGACTTTACCTGCTCTTTTTGAGACGTCTCAAAACGACTTTACCTGCTCTTTTGCCTCGCCGTATCAGGCTGACATCCTCACCTGCACGATCTGCTCGTTCTTCTTGTTGTGGCTCTCGAATGGCTGCAGCGTCAGCCCGTGCGCCCACTTTTTCTTGTGCAGGTTCAGCAGCATCTTCTCCTCCAGCTCGTTCTTGCGGTAGTTGATGCCGATGGAGTAGTAGTGCCGGTTCAACCCGTGAATCAACGCCTGTGGGATATAAGAAGGGCAAAGTGAGAAAAATGGGGTTCATTTCTGCTCTTCCTAGTTGAGACTCCGAGCTGGTTTTTGAGAATTCTCAAAAATGGGGTTCATTTCTGCTCTTCCTAGTTGAGACTCCGATGGAGTAGTAGTGCCTGTTGAGGCCATGGATCAACGCCTGTGGGGTTGCACGGAGGTGAGGACAATAAGGAGTCAGCATCATGGTCTGCGGGTCCCAACTGACTACCCTGCCCTGCCCTGACATACGTTAAACACGACTCCTTATGAGGCCAAAGGCGAGTTTTGAGACGTCTCAAGAGTCAAAGCTCAGAACTTTTGAGATGTCGCAAAAACATTCAGATGTCTCATGGTCAGCGCCATGGTCTGCGTCATGGTCAGCGCCATGGTCAGCGTCATGGTCAGCGCCATGGTCTGCGCCATGGTCAGCGTCATGGTCAGCGGGTCCCAGCTGACTGCCCTGCCCTGCCATACGTTAAACCAGACTCCTTATGAGACGTCCCAAGATTCAAAGCTCAGAACTTTTGAGACGTCGCAAACCATCTAGATGTCTCAAAAGTCAGCTTCATGGTCAGAGCAAGTCCCAGCTGACTGCCCTGCCCCTATGTTGGAATATACGCCCAGACCCTAAAGCGTATTGCGTTTATACGCTTGCGTATATACCCAAAACGCTATACGCTAGCTAATACGCTATACGCACTCAGAATGTTTTTGGGGCTGCCCGGGAAAAAATCGCGAGTATACGAAAATATGCGGATTCTCCTGGTGAGCATTCGGCGAAGTCGAAATGCAATTCGGCGGTCTAGGGAAGCGGGAATGTGCCTTTGAAGTTTTCTGGTAGTTCCAATTTGAACTTTCGATTTGTACCGCATTGAAACCCATCCTATCTACAAACTCCAACCTGTCAAAAATGTTCCCCCAACCACCTCACACTCACGCTACTTACCAGCCAGCCAGCCCAACTCCACTCGTCATTTCTACTTTACATTCCCGCTTCCCAACAGAGTTCCTTCCGATACCTACTTCTTCTAGCGATCTACTCCACATCCCACCCCACCCACCGTTCAGATTCAGGAAAATGCTAGGGAAGTCTTAGTGAGAATAGGGTAGGGAGTACCTACCTTCCCGGATGTTGAGCACGACGTTTTTTTCACCCTGCCCGGGAAAGTTTTTCCCCTGCCCGGAAAAGCGTATGCCCAATCTGACCCTTAAGCGTATGGTGTATACACGCCAGCGTATATACGAAACGCAAATATACGCTAAACGCGTACATTCCAACATAACCCTGCCCTGCCATACGTTACACAGAGAAGCCAGCTGGGACCCGCAGACCATGTTACCCTGCCCTGCCCTGCCTTGCCCTGCCCTGCCCTTCCCTTCCCTGCCCTGCCCTGCCCTGCCCTGCCCTGCCCTGCCCTGCCCTGCCCTGCCCTGCCCTGCCCTGCCCTGCCCTGCCCTGCCCTGCCCTGCCCTGCCCTGCCCTGCCCTGCCCTGCCCTGCCCGGACATACGTTACGTTACACCAGACTCCTGATGAGGCCAAAGGCGTCCTCTTGCCCTTTACCAAAGCGGAGTACCTGAGCTGTCAGTAGGATTCTGTACCTGGATGAACGGTTGGTGAGTAAGGCAGGAGGAAATGGTACCTGAATGGACGGCTTATGCAGGTGACCCAGGTTAGATGTGGTCTGCCAGGGCTCCTGACCCAGCATCATGGTCCATGGGTTGATGAGGCGAAACGTGTCGATGGCCACCTTGCTGTGAGCCCACCTGCCACACAGTAACCGTCCAGCCTGAAGCACACGCCACGCCTTCATACCTGAATTGAAGGCTTGTGCAGGTGCCCCAGGTTGGACGTGGTCTGCCGGGGCTCCTGACCCAGCATCATGGTCTGTGGGTTGATGAGGCGGAATGCGTCAATCACGACTTTGCCCTTCACGGACTGGATAGGATCCACTACGACTGCTACTGCCCGCTGGTTCAATGCCTCAAAGCTCTGAAGTTAAATGAGAGACGGGGTAGGAGAGAGGGAGGGAGGAGAGGAGATGTGGGTTGATGAGGCATTGAAGACAAGACACCGCTTTGCCCTTGACTGACTGGATGGGATCCACAACGACTGCTACCGCCCGCTGGTTCAGCGCCTCAAAGCTCTGAGATTACATGTGAGAAGGGGAAGGAACGGGAAGGACGGAGGGTGTGAAGAGAGGGAGAAGGGTTGATGAGGCATTGAAGACAAGACACCGCTTTGCCCTTGACTGACTGGATGGGATCCACTACGACTGCTACTGCCCGCTGGTTCAATGCCTCAAAGCTCTGAAGTTAAATGAGAGACGGGGTAGGAGAGAGGGAGGGAGGAGAGGAGATGTGGGTTGATGAGGCATTGAAGACAAGACACCGCTTTGCCCTTGACTGACTGGATGGGATCCACAACGACTGCTACCGCCCGCTGGTTCAGCGCCTCAAAGCTCTGAGATTACATGTGAGAAGGGGAAGGAACGGGAAGGACGGAGGGTGTGAAGAGAGGGAGAAGGGTTGATGAGGCATTGAAGACAAGACACCGCTTTGCCCTTGACTGACTGGATGGGATCCACAACGACTGCTACCGCCCGCTGGTTCAGCGCCTCAAAGCTCTGAGATTACATGTGAGAAGGGGAAGGAACGGGAAGGACGGAGGGTGTGAAGAGAGGGAGATGGGTTGATGAGGCATTGAAGACAAGACACCGCTTTGCCCTTGACTGACTGGATGGGATCCACAACGACTGCTACCGCCCGCTGGTTCAGCGCCTCAAAGCTCTGAGATTACATGTGAGAAGGGGAAGGAACGGGAAGGACGGAGGGTGTGAAGAGAGGGAGAATGGTTGATGAGGCATTGAAGACAAGACACCGCTTTGCCCTTGACTGACTGGATGGGATCCACAATGACTGCTACCGCCCTTTCGTTCAACGCCTAAAAGCTCTGAAGAAAAAACAGAAGGGTGCGGGATAGTCGAGGGAGGACAGGAAGGATTGATGAGGCAGAGTGCGTCAATCACGACTTTGCCCTTGACTGACTGGATGGGATCCACCACGACTGCTACTGCCCGCTCGTTCAACGCCTCAAAACTGAAATTAAATGAGACGGGGTAGGAGAGAGGGAGGGAGGAGAGGAGATGTGGGTTGATGAGGCGGAACGCGTCGATGACCACTTTGCCCTTCACCGACTGAATAGGGTCCACCACCACCGCCACCGCCCGCTGGTTCAACGCCTCGAAACTCTGAATAAAAGGACAAGGAGAAAGGGAGGGAGGAGAGGAAGAGAGGAAGAGTGGAGAGGTGGGTTGATGAGGTGAAACTTGTCGATGACCACCTTGCCTTTTACGGATTGAATCGGGTCCACCACCACTGCTACCGCCCGCTGGTTCAGCGCCTCAAAGCTCTGAAAAGAGACGTGAGGAAGGCAAAGAGGGAGGGAGGGACGAGAAGAAGAGGAAGTAGATGAGCCGGAATGCGTCGATGACTGCCTTGCCCTTGACTGACTGAATGGGATCCACCACCAGTAGACATGAGCACAAGGGCGAACACCTGTTCGTTCGAGGCGAACCGAACAGGTTTGTTTTTTTTTGCTTAAAGTGTTCGCCAAACAGTGTTCGAGGTTCGCCCGAACACGCCTTCACAGGCGAACGGCGAACTTGTGTTTTTGCTTAAAGTGTTCGCCGAACCGAACAGCGTTCGGTTCGGCAAACGAACATGTTCGTGTTCGCCCCTTGCTCATCCCTAACCACCAGTGCTGCTGCCCACTGATTCAATGCCTCAAAGCTCTGATGGAACGCGGCGATGACCGCCTTGCCCTTGACTGACTGAATGGAATCCACCACCACTGCTACTGCCATTACCCGCTCAACTGTGCTGTGCATTGCGTGGGAAGCGCGTAACTGCTGTGTGTTGATGTTCACGCCTGACAGCCAGCAGCCAAGCCTGTTGAGTGGATCTAACCACTACCTGCTGAGCTGTGCTGTGTGTTGCAAGCTGCTGTGCTGTGTGTTGCAAGCTGTGCGCCGCGTGGGAAGCGTGTAACTGCTGAGTGTTGATGTCCACGCCTGACACGACGCCTGAGAGCCAGCTACGAACAACCAGAGTGCGTATCTTTAAAAAGGGCTAATGTTGAAAGAGCATACCTGCTGTGCGTTAAAGGTCCACGCCTGACAAGGCGCCTGAGAGCCAGCTATTGAACAACCAGAGTGCACTTCTTTCAAAAGGGCTACTGTTGAAAAGTCTGCTTTTGAGTCGACTCAAAACTGCTTTTGAGTCTGCTTTTTTTGAGTCGACTCAAGAGCCAGCTACGAACAACCAGAGTGCAGTTCTTTAAAAGGTGCTACTGTTGAGAGAGCATACCTGCTGGGTGTTGATATCCACGCCTGAGAGCCAGCAGCCGAACTGAGTGGACTCAGAAAATCACCTTAACTGGGATCCACCATTACTCCTGTGGCTATTGCTGAAAGAGCATACCTGTTGTGTGTTTATATCCACGCCTGAGAGCCAGCAGCCAAAGCCTGGATGCGAGTGGTACCAGCCGACCACCATCTCAGGCCTGGTGCGGGGCGGAGCAGAAGGGAGAGGGGGACGAAGGATGGGGGAGGGCGTGCACTGATAAGAACATGCTGAGAAAAACAGCCAGCAGCCAAAGCCTGGATGCGAGTGGTACCAGCCAACCACCATCTCGGGCCTGGCGAAGGGAGGAGGGGAATGGGAGAAAGAGATGGGTTGGAGTGGAAGAAGCAGCAGGGAGGGGGGAGACTGAGAAGGTTGCCCTGATAAGAACGTGATACGAGACAGGCAGCAGCCTAAGCCTGGATGCGATTGGTACCAGCCAACCACCATTTCAGGCCTGGTGAAGGGAAGAGGGAGAAGGGTTGACGCGTTGCAAGAAAGGGAGAAAAAAGGTAAGGTGTTTAAGGAACTGAATCGTATTGCCTGTGAGGGGGAGGAGGGGGTGGAGAGGTGGGTGGGAGGATGGGAGGGGAATGGCTAGAAGAGATTGGCCATTCTCCTCACATGCCTTTCGATTAGATGAGATGGGCAGGAAGGTCGATGAGACAAGAGTTGCAAAAGAAGAAAAAATATCTAGTCACAACTGTCACATCTGATGTTTATGAGCTGGGGCAAACTTTACCTGCTTGCTTGCTGCTTTACCTTCCCATCAGTCATTTCAACTGCCCGTCTGTTTAAAAACATATTATATTTACCTGCCCGTCTGCTTGAGCATGTCGAGCATCTTGGACTGGAAGACAGGATCCACTGCTTCCACACTCACACATGTGCTGCTCTGAGGCATCGCCAACACATCCACCACAATTCTTTCCACCTGCCCTTTTCACCTGCCCGGTTGCTCTTTTCACCTGCCCGTCTGCTTGAGCATGTCGAGCATCTTAGTTTGAAAAACTGGGTCCACCGCCTCGACGCTCACGCCCGTGCCGCTCTGAGGCATGGCGAACACATCAACCACCCTCACTGTGTAGTCGTCAACGAACTCGCCCAGCATGAGACCCATGACCTCCATGGGGACTCCCGCTCGACCTGCAAGGTGGATGGGGCTCGGGGATACAGTGTGTGCGTGCAGATGCATTGGCTATGATATACGGCTTCGAGACCTGAAAAAAAGCCTGACATACACTATTCAAGAATTTGGAGCACCCAATTTCAGAATCTGACACCAGGTTCGAAAATCTGACACATCGAATTCGAAAAACTTGATCGGGTTCGAGAATTCGACACACCCAAAGGGAAAATCTGAAACACCGATTCGAAAACTTGATAACACCGTGTTTACGCATCTACGAGAGCGAGTGACGAGACGCACACCTGTTCCGACATGACATCACGGGAACGACCTTAATCGCTACTAAATCTAATGGATCACATCGCTTAGCGCGCACCGTGTTCATAGAGCGAGCGAGGGAACGTACACCTGCTCCGACGTCTCAACACGTGAACGACTTTGAACGCTACTAATCTGACGCACTACTGCGCTCAAGCACGCACCGTGTTTAAGCATCTTCAACAAAGCGAGCGACGAGATGTAAACCTGCTCCGACGTGTCGACCATCGGAGCGTCAGGCTGAGGCCCCATGCCTCCCCCCGTGCTCTGGAATATCCGCTGGAGCCGCTCCATGATCTAAACTCGGCAAACGACCGCCGTCCGATCTGGATTTGCGAATCTCCACGCGCGAGACCTGACAACCGGCGGGCCTTGGATCTAGACTGGCGGATTCGCGGACTTCGTGTCAGTGAGCTTGCGAGGGATGCAGCTGGTTCCTCGGAAGACGGACTAATAAGTCTCAGGTCCGAGCTGTACTAAAATATACAGTACTGAGAAATTATGGAGACCAAGGGGAAAATATGTCAAGAGTAACCAGCACGGGACTCGATTACGTGAATGGTAAAAAAGTAACGTGTACGGTCTCTGTACCGGATTTGCTGACGGGTTTGGTATGTGGGGTCACGGATTCAGTCACTAACAACAGGAAAAAAATCACGTGAATGGTCACACACGTAACTCCCGCCAAAAAATCTTGAAACTCTACAAAAACTCCCGCTTGCGCCTAGCCAATCAGCTAACTTCTAAAAAAATCTAAAACCCAATCGGAATCAGATGCGGTTTGGGAACGGATCAACCCTGAACACCTGGTGAATTGTGTTCATGGCTGATTCATCCAAAAATGCATCCAGGTTTGATTTGGGTATTATCTTTTTTGGGCAGAAGTTTCATCTGTGACTATTCGCGTTATTTTTTCCCAGTTTTATCAAACACGTGAAAACACCCTTTGCAGTGACCGTACCCGTTGCTTTTTTTCCAAACATATTATCGAGACCCTTGTTGATTGCGAGTGACATATTTCCCCTATTCTGAGCTTCTGAATTCCTTCGGGATATCTGACAGCATATCTCAGCTGTGATATATTTTCAGAAACCTACTCAACCGCTTTGTCTATTTTATTGACCGTTCTACAACGTAAACTATCTCACGGCGACGCATCCAACCCAGGTTCCTCACCAGCAAAGTGTGATATACGCGATACGGAGACATCTCGAGGATGATTCCAGCCATTGGCAGGAGCCAGACTCCTTGTCGTTTATAAAATTCAATACTGCGAACACATGTTCTATCAAAGCCTTCTATTAGTAAGACACTGGAAGTTTATTCAGACTTAAGAGGCGCCGTTAACTCATCATCCCCCATCCCATTCTTAGTCCCTTATTTCCCCAACCCCCTTACCCCCAAATAATTACCCCACTTCCCCCTACGTACCCCACTCTACATCGTCCAATGAAATCAGCTCAGCGGTGCACAAACTTGTGAACTATCCTTCGAGCAAAGAAATTGCACCGGAGGCTCGTCCACTGGTAATAAGGTCTCGTATCAGGAATATCTTCTGCTCCGGGTTGGGAATGAACCCTTCTGGGTCCAAGACATGCGGAACAATGCGATCGCACACCAGTGCAGCTGGCGTGGTTATTCCCTGCCAAAATCACACCGGAAAATAAATAAGAACATTACATTCACATGCCGGTGTGCATGTACATTCAATAAATGCATGGCTATATATTATACCACAACTATTTCAAGCGTAGATGAAAAGTAGTTATGTAACACTCTATGCATCCACCCCAACTCACCTTATATCGATTATGATTCATCTTCCTTGCAGAAATATCCACGCCGTCATCAATCAGCTTAACAGCAGCGTGTGGTTGTAACACCTCCACGCGCCAAGGGTTGTAACACCTCCACGCGCCAGGGGTTGAAGAGTAACCGGCGGTAACCAGCAGCACCATGCGCTCCCTCAACTCACCTTGTATCGATTGTAATTCATCTTCCTCGCAGAAATATCCACGCCGTCATCAGTCGGCTTAACAGCAGCATGCGGCTGTAGCACGTCCACGCGCCTGGGATTGAAGAGCAACCGGCGGTAACCAGCGGCGCCCAGGCAGTGGTCTGCAGCTGAGGCGTTGGTGGTGGCGTGGGAGCAGGTGGGGGTGGGCATGCGGTACACCATCTGCTGTGCCAGCCACTCCTCTCCTGCAACTGGGGATTACAGGAGGGGTTTCTAAGGGGTTTAAGAGGGTTTTCAGAGGGTTATGTCCAGTTGTAACACCTCCACGCACCTGGGGATGAAAAGTAACCGGCAGTAACCAGCAGTGCCCAGGCAGTGGTGGCATGGGAGCAGGTGGGGGTGGCGCAGCGACACGCATCCATTGAATTGAAAACCAACGAGAGCTCTTCCAACCAAAGGGAGATTGGAGAGTGGATGCATGCAGTCACCTCTTCCACTCACCAACAGCACCAGCAGCAGCAGCCGAATCGGCACCAGAAGGTGGGTGGTGCGGTGGTGGTGAAGCGACATGTATTGATTAAATTGAAGACAAACAAGAGTTCTTCCAGCCCAAGGGAGGTGGGAGAGTGGATGCATGCAGTCAATACAGAGCCTACTCACCAACAGGGTCAACGAGGTAAACGCGGTAAGCGGGTTCAGCGCGGTCAGCAAGGTCGATGCGGTCACTGGGATGAATGGGGTCAACGGGGTCGATGGAGTGTGCGAGGCAGACGGAGATGGGGCAGCAGAGCTGCAGTCACAGCAGCAGCAGCAGCAGCAGCAGCAGCAGCAGCAGCAGCAGCAGCAGCAGCAGCAGCAGCAGCAGAGGTAGAGGCACCATGCGATGCACCATAGGTCGCGTTTGTATACGTCAAACGTGGTCAACTCGGTCAATGGGGTCAACGGGGTGTGTGAGGAAGAGGGAGATGGGGCAGCAGAGTTGCAGCAGCAGCAGCAGCAGCACAGCTTGATGTTCCACTCGAACGACCCCACTGACAGCCACGGGGCATCCTCGTTGTCTTCTAGTGCCATGCGCAGCGAGAGGCGCCGGTTGAACACAAACGGGAGCTCCTCCAACCAGTGGGAGATTGGAAAGCTTGGAAAGGAGATTGGAAAGATTGGAAAGCCCGAGAATGGATTCGCCTCAGCGTCTACTCACCAGCAGCAGCTGCTGCAGAAGCAGCAGAATCATTAGCAGTACCAGCAGGGGGAGCACACAGCTTGATGCTCCACTCGTACGACCCCACTGACAGCCACGGGGCATCCTCATTGTCCTCCAGCGCCATGCGCAGCGAGAGGCGGCCATTGAACACAAAGGGTAGTTCTTCTAATGTGACGAAGGTGGTCCAGCGTGAGGTGAAGCGCGTACGGTAGAGGCAGTCGTTCGTTACAAGCACATCCAGCTGTGCTGAGAGGCTGTAGTGAGGATGGGATAAAAGAGATGGTAAGGGAGAAGGATACGCAAGGATGGGATGGGATGGGACACACAAGACACACACAGAGGGATAGGAGCTCTTCTAATGTGACGAAGGTGGCCCAGCGCGAGGTGAATCGCGTACGGTAGAGGCAGTAGTTCGTTACAAGCACGTCCATCTGTGCTGAGAGGCTGTAGAGGGGGTGGGATGGAAAAGACAGACGAAGAGGGGGGGAATACAAGGAAGACATGCGGGACGTAAAGCGCGTACGGTAGAGGCAGTCGTTCGTTACAAGCACGTCCATCTGTGCTGAGAGGCTGTAGAGGGGGTGGGTGGGTGGGATGGAACAGACAGACAGTGAGGAGGATACACAAGGTGAAAGAACACACAAGGACCGAGAGGCTCTTGTCTTCCCATGTGCGGTAGAGGCAGTCGTTCGTTACAAGCCAGTCCAGCTGTGCTGGGAGGCAGTAGGGAAGGGGAGATAGCAGAGACAGAGGGACCGGAAGAAGGGCACATGCGGGAGGGAGAAATGGGCAGGTGGCTTGACTTTGGAGTCGACTCAAAGTCAGCTGCGTTGGATGAAAGGAAGTGGTGAGGGTGCGATAGCAGAAAGAGAGCGACCAGAGGAAGAGAACATAAGGATGGAGAAATTACAAAAACTAAGGACAGTGAGGAAGAGCACATAAGCATCGTGAGAAAAGGCTCATAAGAATGAATGAATGAAGAAGGGCTCATTCATATGAAAGGCACAAAACGAAGTCTCGTTTTAAAAGATGAGCCTTAGAGAAAGGGCTCATAGTGTTGTGCGTTAAGCAATCGTCCATTTTTCCACTTTTTTCATGAGAGGCAAGATCTGGACCATCCCGGCAGTGACATACGGCCTTAAAGCCTGCCTCAGCAGCCCGTCCACTCCTCCCCCGTCGTACACGAGAAAGCTGTTGGCTTCGTTCTCTCCATTCCCTCCCTTCTCCCTTCCCACTTACTGTGACAAGCCCATAAGAGGTACGATTTCGACCATCCCTGCAGTGACGTACGGCCTTAGCGCCTGCCTTAGAAGCTCGTCCACTCCTCCCCCGTCGTATACAAGAAAGCTGTCGGCACCGTAATAAGTGAAGAGCTGAATCTGCTCCAGCACTCGCTCTGGCCGCACCTGATGGTGGGAATAGGGTATGCAAGGAGCGACGCAAAACAAACAAGCCTGTGTAAATGAGAACGCTAACATGGAAGCAGCTCGTCCACTCCCACGCCTCCCCCGTCGTACACAAGAAAGCTGTCAGCACCATAATAAGTGAAGAGCTGGATCTGCTCCAACACTCGCTCTGGGCGCACCTGATGGGCATGGAAGGAGGCACATACATACAGCAAGTCAAGTCAGCAAGAGACGAGCCCGTCCACCCCAACACCTCCCCCGCCATACAGAAGGAAGCAGTCTGCGCCATAGTATGCGAAGAGCTGGATCTGCTCCAACACTCGCTCTGGGCGCACCTGATGCGGTGATAGGGAAGGATTGGGGAGCATGGAGGGAGAGAAATACATACAGCAAGTCAACAAGGGCCAGACTCGTCCACTCCTTCCCCATCGTACAAGAGGAAGCTGTCAACCAGCGTGGCAGTGGCGTGTTTTTGAGACGTCTCAAAAACACTCTCATTTCACGAAGCTGTCAACCAGGAGGGCAGTGGCGTGGGGGGGTCAAGAACGAGAAGGACATTATCAGAACACATAATCGCATAGTAACTCACAGCAAAGCACATTACCACACTGGGCAACACTGCACCGCACTGTATCCCGTAGCAGAGAACTCACCGGTCGGATGATGAGTTGAGTGCAGGCCGTTAGCCAGCGAGGGAGAGGCGTGGGTGGGTCAAGAACCAAAAGATCATCAGAGGACAAAGTCGCACAGCAGCATACAGCAGCAGAGCACATAACTGCACTGTAAATGCTCAGCCCACATCATATCACGTTCCCTACTGTACCTTACATTACTGCACTGTACTTGCACACACTGGTTGGGCGATGAGTTGAGAGCAGACCGTAAGCCAGCGGGGGAGTGGCGTGGGAGGGTCAAGAGCCAGAAGGCCATCATAGCAGAGAAATGCTCAGCCCACATTATATCACTTTACCTACTGTACCTTACATTACTGCACTGTATGTGAACTCACCGGTTGGTTGATGAGTTGAGTGCACACAGTGAACCAGCGGGGGAGCGGCGTGGGAGGGTCAAGAGCCAGAAGGCCATCCGAACCAGAAGTATGATTTGAACCGGAGACCTTTTTCGGAAGATTCTCCCTCCTTATAAGCACCTCGTCGCCGTGTATAGTGGCAAAGAGTGTCCCAGCTGCCAGGAGATTGCAACAGAGGACAGGTGGAAGCTTCTGAGGAAGAAAACAGCTGGGAAGCTTCTGAGGAAGAAAACAGCTGGGAAGCTTCTGAGGAAGAAAACAGCTGGGAAGCTTCTGAGGAAGAAAACAGCTGGGAAGCTTCTGAGGGAGAAAACAGCTGGTAAGCTTCTGAAAAGAAAACAGCTGGTAAGATTCTGAGGAAGACAACAGCTGGGAAGCTTCTGAAGAAGAAACCAGCTGGGAAGTTTCTGAGGAAGAAAACAGCTGGGAAGCTTCTGAGGAAGAAAGCAGCTGGGAAGCTTCTGAAGAAGAAAACAGCTGGGAAGCTTCTGAAGAAGAAAACAGCTGGGAATCTTCTGAGGAAGAAAGCGGCTGGGAAGATTCTGAGGAAGAAAACAGCTGGGACACTTCTGAGGAAGAAAACAGCTGGGAAGCTTCTGAGGGAGAAAACAGCTGGTAAGCTTCTGAAAAGAAAACAGCTGGTAAGATTCTGAGGAAGACAACAGCTGGGAAGCTTCTGAAGAAGAAACCAGCTGGGAAGTTTCTGAGGAAGAAAACAGCTGGGAAGCTTCTGAGGAAGAAAGCAGCTGGGAAGCTTCTGAAGAAGAAAACAGCTGGGAAGCTTCTGAAGAAGAAAACAGCTGGGAATCTTCTGAGGAAGAAAGCGGCTGGGAAGATTCTGAGGAAGAAAACAGCTGGGACACTTCTGAGGAAGAAAACAGCTGGGAAGCTTCTGAGGGGAATATCAGCTGGACATTATATAGAGAGGCGGTTCAGCAGCAGCCAATAAGTAGAAATTAACGTTAATGTATGAGGTATAGAACAGCCGATTTCAGCTTGTCCTGGAAGTGGGAGAGCAGACAGCGTACACTGTATAATCACAGTCTCGTACAGTGACACTCTGCTGGGGTTTGTAGACAGTAACCCGTTCACCCATAAGGCCTGCTGCTTCAATGACCGGGGAAGTGCCACTCACCAGAATCAGCAGGAGTGGGAGCAGACAGAGTGCACTGTATAATCACAGTCTCGTACAGTGACACTCTGCTGGGGTCCCTAGGTGGTAACCCGTTCACCTTAAGTCCATTCGTATCCTCCGGAAAATAATAGACCAACGTTCCCTGGGACAATGAACAGCGAGGGAGGAGGAGGCAGGGGTCAGAAGTTGGGGGAACAAGGCCAGTGAGTTTCCAAGCTGGTAACCCGTTCACCTTGAGTCAATTGGTATCCTCCGGAAAATAATAGGCCAACGTTCCCTGGGATAACAACGAGGGAGGGGATGGTGGGGAGAAGAGGAGGTGGTGGGGTTGTGCAAGGGGGAGTGGTGGTGAGGTGGGGAGGACAATTATCACCGTCTCATACAAAGACACTCTGTTGGGGCACCAGAGTTACCTGTGCTTAGAAAACAAGGGAGGCGGGCGAAAAGGGAGGGCAGGGAGGGCGAAAACAGGAGCCAATAGGAGCGAATGGATGGTTGGATGGGTGGACTTACCCTCCCCTCCCCTCCAGTGCCCATCGGAATAGCCTTGGGTCCCTCCAGGGATATTCAGAGGCACGTCTCCTCCTTGCTCCCCCACAGGTACCTCCAGCAAATAGGAACACACCACGTGTAATTGACTCTCCATTCAATAGGATCCTGCCACGTGTCCGTTCCAGAATAGCCCTGGGTCCTTCAAGGGAGATCCACAGGCACGTCTCCTCCCTGCTCCCCCACAGGTACCTCCCTGCCAACCCGTGCGCCCACCGCAGCAACCAGGCAGCTGTGCAGTGCGGTGCGGTGCGGTGTGGTGTGGTGTGGTGTGGTGCAGATGGATGGATGGAACGACCCTCTAGTCCTTACCGGAATAGCCCTGGGACCTTCAAGGGAGATCCAGAAGCACGTCTCCTCCCTGCTCCCCCACAGGTACCTCCCTGCCCGCCCGTGAACCCAGCGCAGCAACCCGGCAGCCGTGTGGTGCGGTGTGGTGCGGTTTGGTGCGGTGCGGTGTGGATGGAAGGATGCTTTAGTCCTCACCGGAATAGCCCTGGGACCTTCAAGGGAGATCCAGAAGCACGTCTCCTCCCTGCTCCCCCACAGGTACCTCCCTGCCCACCCGTGAACCCAGCGCAGCAACCCGGCAGCCGTGTGGTGCGGTGTGGTGCGGTTTGGTGCGGTGCGGTGTGGATGGAAGGATGCTTTAGTCCTCACCGGAATAGCCCTGGGACCTTCAAGGGAGATCCAGAAGCACGTCTCCTCCCTGCTCCCCCACAGGTACCTCCCTGCCCACCCGTGAACCCAGCGCAGCAACCCGGCAGCCGTGTGGTGCGGTGTGGTGCGGTTTGGTGCGGTGCGGTGTGGATGGAAGGATGCTTTAGTCCTCACCGGAATAGCCCTGGGACCTTCAAGGGAGATCCAGAAGCACGTCTCCTCCCTGCTCCCCTACAGGTACCTCCCTGCTCCCCCACAGGTACCTCCCTGCCCGTGCGCCCAGCGCAGCAACAAGGCAGCCATGCGGTGCAGTGCGGTGCAGATGGATGGATGGATGGATGGATGGATGGATGGATGGATGGATGGATGGATGGATGGATGGATGGATGGATGGATGGATGGATGGATGGATGGATGGATGGATGGATGGATGGATGGATGGATGGATGGATGGATGGATGGATGGATGGATGGATGGATGGATGGATGGATTGACCCTTCCCTCCCCTCCAGTGCTGACCGGAATAGCCCGGGGTCCTTCAAGGGAGATCCACAGGCACGTCTCCTCCCTGCTCCCCCACAGGTACCTCCCTGCCCATGTGCCCAGCCAAGCAACCAGGCACCCGTGCGGTACTGTGCGGTGTAGTGCGGTGCGGAGGGATAAATTGGCCCTCCAGTGCTTACCGTAATAGCCCTGGGTCCGTCCAGGGAGATCCACAGGCACGTCTCCTCCCTGCTGCCCCACAGATACCTCCCTGCCCGTGCGCCCAGCCCCACGACTGCAAAGGCGGATGCGTGGAGGCGGTGGGATGAGGCGAAGATGAACGTTGGCATGCCGTGTGGTGTGAAGAGGGCTGGGGAAGAGAGGGGGGAGAAAGGGGAAGGAGGTGGTATTTTAAGCTGACTGAGCGACACATCGACACGTGCAGGCGGTGGGATGGGGCGAAGATGAACGTTGGCATGCCGTGCCGGGTGAAGAGGGCTGGGGGAAAGGAAGGGGGAAAAAAGATGGGGTTTCGACGATGGGTGGACAAGCGAGATAGCTTCCCACGTGCCCAGCCCCACAACTGCAAAGGCGGACGCGTGGAGGCGGTGGGATGAGGCGAAGATGAACGTTGGCATGCCGTGTGGGGCGAATAGGGCTGGGAAAGAGAGGGGGGAGAAAGGGGAAGTGAGGTGGTGTTTTGAGCTGACTAGGAGACACATGGATGCGTGCAGGCGGTGGGATGAGGCGAAGATGAACGTTGGCATGCCGTGTGGTGTGAAGAGGGCTGGAGGAAATGGAAGGGAAGAAGGAGGCGGGAGGTAACGACAGTGCAGGAATTAGGAACAGGGGAATGATGTGGTGACCAGAGTGACTTTAACGCGAGATAGATAGGTCATTCCACACAGGATGGTATGGTGGTTTGCCCTCAGGGTGTTTACCCAGGGCTCTGGTATTGAGATACGAGAGACAGGTGATTCCTCTCAGGAATATTGACAACAGGAATGACTCTCAAGCCGGCCGTTCAGGGTTACCCTGAGGGTTTTGGGGGTAACCCTGAGAGTTACTAGGGTTAACCTTCAGAGTTATTTGCGGCCTGGTAGGGTAGCTGACAAGCTGGTAGAGTAGCTGGGTGAGACTTTGGCGCTTCTTGGAATGAAATGTGACTCTATTGAAGGACACGGACGACAGAGTGACTGTAATGCAGGATGGTTGAGGTTGTCTTGAGGGTTGTTCGCTGGCTGGTAGGGTAAGTGGGTGAGAGTCTGGCACTCGCGCGAGAATTGTGATTCTCTTCCGGGAGACAAATGACAGCATGACTATAACGAGAGATAATTAGGGTTACCTTGAGGATTATTCGCCGGCTGGTAGGGTAGCTGGGTGAGATTCTGGCACTGCTTGGCGAGAACTGTGACTCTATTTAGGGACACAGACGACAGTGACTGGATAATAAGGGTTACCTTGAGGGTTGTTGGCGGGTTGGTAGGGTAGCTGGGTGATACTCTGACACTCCTTGGCGAGAAATGTGATTCCATTGAGCGAGACTGACGGGAAGAGTGACTTAAACGGGGTGGGTATTATCGAGGGGAGTGTGGGGTTGGGGAGGTACGAGAGCGAGCGGCGGTGCCATATGTTGTGCGAGACGAGCACGAGGAGACATAGGACGAATGAATAATGGAAGAGCGGTGACATGGTGTCGAAAGTCTCCGCGTAAAACGGATGATGTATCACACGCCGTAGTTGCTCCAAGGAAACTCTTTTTGAAATCTCTGCTTAGCCCGCTGTAACACCCCCTCCCCCTCGTGGTTCAACTCTGCCTGTTCAAGTATACTCTGAAGCACAATCAGGATGAAAGCGAATCTCAGACGCCATTGTGGCGGTTGTCCCTAGGTTTCCCGCCAAAACGCCACATTGGGAATTTAGGACCAACAGTACAAATTTGGGTTGGTGGGCTTGATAGTTTGGGGCTCCAATTGCTTGTGCCTCGGAGTGTACACACCCTGTTTTTCTTGCTCATTTGCAGGCGAATTTTCCAGACCACATCTTTCTCCACTTCCAATTTTCACAAATAAAGGTTGCGACATTTGCAGAAACTATATTCCAGCATCATCACAAGATAACCAATCTGTGGACTTTACAAATATGAATGCAATGCCAACGGGCAGCCGATTATTCCCGATTTCCTGGTTGAAACTTTGAACCAGGTCATCTGCTCTGACACACACTTTTGAAACCTCCAAACCAGGCCAAGCGACCCGTTTTCGAGTCTAGGTCTTCACAAATCTAACTCTCTAAGCTGCTCCACTCCCATTCCCCTTCCCTCATTCCAGTTCTTAGCTCCAGCATCATCACATTCTTAGCTCCTTCCTCATTTTTGTCTAGATTGGTCTGTTACTGACCTCGTCGATTTCTTGAACTATGAAGGACTTTTTCAGTGTTCGTCGATCTTTATCTTCCGCTAGCTAAGCAGCGACAGTGTGCTTCTACGCGCCACCTTTTCTGAAGCAAGTAAGCAGCGAAACTCGTTCTAGTCGGCGGTGATTTGTACTCAGAACTCGGTAGTCACTCGGTTTTACGCTCGCGTGCACGTATTCCCTGTACGACAGAGGTGTTTTGAGTCAAAATCTTAATTCGTATGCTCGTATTCCCTGTACAGCACAGCACGTCCTGCTTCGTTCATCCCGTAGCGCCACCCTTCAAGTACCAGAATTTCTAAACCACGTCAGCATCCATGTCGACGTCCACGTCATCCGCCGTATCTCCACCGGCGGAATTGTACGAGCAATCCGTGGCGATTCTGACCCGGTTGACGGAGAAATGGAGCAACATGGAGGAGGAGGAAGCGAAGATTCAACAAGCAAATGAAGCTACCAAGAGGCTCGTGGGTGTCTGCACTGAAAGGGAACGAGCCATGGCCAGCCTGATCGACCGTACGTACCAAATATTCCCCGTCCAGTCGTTCTTAAAAAATAACTCGAAACGTTTCGTGCGAATTTGTGAGGTTCTGTGCGAGTCCGTGAGGTGCTGATTGAGCAATCCGTGACAATCCTGAAACGTTTGACTAATCCGTGGCGATTTTGACCCGTTTGGCGGAGAATCGGAGCAACATGGAGCAACTGGTGTTATTATGCCTGATGCACCCCGTTTTTGCCTCTCCCTCGCAGGCTCGCAGCAGGTGGTGTCGGAGATGAGGGAAAGAGTGGGGGAGCTGCAGCGGGACTTGGAGGAGGATGCAGCGAGGGTGGGGGAGGCGAAGGAGCAGAAGGGCGAGCAGGAGGCGGAGATCAACGCACTCGTGGAAAAGGTGTGTGTGGGTTATATGTCATTCATAGACTATATATGCACCAGTCAGTAATTTTAGAGGGATTCGGAGAGGGGGGCAGCGAGAGGCGAAGGAGCAGAAGAGCGAGCAGGTGGAGATCAACGAGCTCATGGAAAAGGTTTGTGTGGGAGATTAGTAGTCATGGACCGCAAACTGAGTGCAATCAATAGCTCACACCATGACCACGACCATGACGCACTCCTGGATGGTATGCACGCCACGACCATGACGCGTACACGATAACTGCATGAGATTAGGTCTGTTTTGATGCGTTTAACTCAGGGGAGCAGCAGAACGAGCACAAGGTGGAGATTAATGCGCTTGTGGGTAAGGTGTGCAGGGGTGATATGACATGCACCGAATTCTGAGTTATCATGTGTTCACCGACTTTTACTGACACGTAGTCTTGTCACGTGTTTGTTGCTGTCACACCTATGTACCCCGCCGGCTGGTGCACCCTTCTCTCTGCTCCACTGCAGGTGAAGGAGTGTCAGACAAGGATCAGCAAACTCATGCGGCGGCAAGAAGAGCTTCGGGAGAAGCGAGCGAATCTTGAAGCAGATGCAGACCAGCGCACCACCAAGATACGGTGAGAAGGTGGAAGGCGCTGGAGAAACAAAGGGGGGAGGGGGAGGGAAGGGAACGAATTCTGATGAGGGGGAGTCGTGAAGCAGATGCAGACTTGTGCACCACCAAGTTAAGGTGAGGAGGTGGAATACGCCGGGGAAAGGAGGTGGGCAGGAGGAATGGGGAGGGGGGAGAGGGGGGGGGATCTTTTTATGAGAGCGAATCTTGAAGCAGATGCAGACCTGCGCACCACCAAGATACAGTGAGGAGGGGAAAGTAAGAAAGGAGAAGGTGGGAAGGGATGGAATGGGCGTTTTCTGTAAAAAAAAATCTTTATATATATATACCTGCAATGACAGCAAGCGAGATTTGAGGCGGATGCAGACTTGCGCACCACCAAGATACGGTGAGGGGCAAGGAAAGGGGGGGAAAAGGATGTGTGTTTGTGTATGTGTATTTGTGTGTGAGTGTGCATGACAGGTATCCATCCTTCTCCTCCCCACCTCATCCCCCTCTTTTGAGGCGCCTCAAAAGTGTGCATGACAGGTGTCCATCCTTCCCCTCCCCACCTTATCCCCCTCTTCCAGCCCCAGCAAGGAGATTGTTCCCTTCTCTGGCTTCACCAGCATCCGCCTGGATGTGGATGTGAGGGACCGGTTCGTCGGCACGTTGATATGTGTTTTGATTGTCCATTCTCTTCCCTCTACACCGCACTGCACCCTTCTGTTTGACACCAGCAAGGAGATTGTTCTCTTCTCGGGCTTCACCAGCATCCGCCTGGATGTGGACGTGAAGGACCGGTTCATCAGCTCTGTTCTTGAAGTGCTTCTTTGTGAGCATATAAATATGTGATAAGAGCCCATCCTTTCCCACCCCTCCACACCGCATTGCACCCTTTTGTCCGATGGCAGCAAGGAGATTGTTCTCTTCTCGGGCTTCACCAGCATCCGCCTGGATGTGGATGTGAAGGACCGGTTCGTCGGCACGTTGATATGTGTGTTAATTGTCCATTCTCTTCCCTCTGCACCGCACTGCACTCCTCTCTCCCACCAACAGCAAGGAGATTGTTCTCTTTTCAGGTTTCACCAACATCCGCCTGGATGTGGACGTGAAGGACCGGTTTGTCGGCACGTTGGTGCACCCCTCAGGCAACCCCGAGCTCGCCAGGCCAGTTGACTTTGATGCCTCTGCCGCCAACACCACCACTGTTGCGTACCAGCTCTGGAACATGATATGAGCACAGACACTAATGATTTCAATGACTCGTATATCTATGGGAATCACATCTAAGGATCTTTTTAACCAAGGTTATTATTAGCATCTGTGGGACTCTCATGTATTAGATTGCTTGTAGATATTAGCCTTATTACCATCATTCTCACCGTGTAAATCAGCAGTAGCTAACTAGAGGGTCTGAGAGTTAGGCAAGGGGAAAGGTGTGACTAGAATGTGTTAGGGTACAAAAATATCTAACCCTACCCTAGCACAACTCACTACAGTCTACAACATTTGACAGAGGGTTGTACATCTCCTGTTTGTGACCATAATACCATGAGTCTTTAAACCTCATTGGCACTGCACCCATTGGCGCTCTACTAGAATACCAGCACCAAAATGGGAAATTGATGGCAACAAAATCTTAGAAGCTAGGCATGAGTGATTGTCGACTATCGAGATGGTGGTACAAGGAAAATGAACCTAAGGGGTTGTACCCTACAGTGTGTGTGTGTACCCCACTAAGCGTACCCAAAATATAACATAGATATACATATGTTTGACACACCCCCAAAGGCAGAGTGGGGGGAGAACAGAGGGTCACAAGACCAGTCAGGAAGTGCAAAGCAAGCTCAGGGTGGATCACAACGTCACCACGCAGTCTGAGCACAAGCAAGAAGGCCACAAGGCCAGTTCACATGCAGAGATATATATGTAACAACAACAGTACAGTGAAATCTACCTACAAGAACAAGCATGCAGGAATACATATAAATCATGGTACAAACAAAGCCTACAGCAAGTGAGGAAGCGTGGGCACAAGGCCTAACAAAGTGCAGAAACGCTGATGATCACCAGGCGGAAGTGCCTTGGTGAATATATCAGCAGTGTTGGCCCGAGTGGCCACGTAGGTAAGACGAAGCTGGCCACGCTGCTGCAGCTCTCGAGCAAGAAAGTAACGGAGAGCGATGTGCTTCGTTCTGTGCTCCAGTCTGTGCTCCTGACACAAGGCAATGGCGGCCTTGTTGTCGACGTACAGCACTGGAGGAGAACGAGGCCGCTCTCCCAAGTCAGTCAGCAGGTAGGTGAGCCAGCGAAGCTCCTGTGCAGCCATGGCTGTGGCGTAGATCTTGTCAGAATGTTATGTTTTGTCTAGCCTGCAGTGGGGTACTCAATAGTGAGTACAGCCCAATTTAGGGTTTGGGGGTGGCGAGTGGGGGGTGGCGGGTGTGTGGCATCACCTGCTCCTCCTCCTCCTCCGTCTCCCACTGCTGCAGCTGCCGCTGAGGGGGGTGGATGTGTGGGAGACAATGGAGTGGTGCTAGGGGGTGGAGTGTGAGCAGTGTTAGAGGTGTAGCAGGGGGTGTGTGAAAGGGGGGTGGGTCAGTTTGGGGGAGGTTGAAGGGAGGTAGCTGTCGTGTCGCTAGCAGCGCCAGTAGTCCGGAGGCTACAATCTCCGGTAGCCCAGCGAGTAAGTAGTCCGGAGGCTACAATCTCCGGTCGCCAGCTGCGCCAGTCGCCCGTGGGTCCGTTGCTCCTGTAGCTCAGAGTTAGTCGCGGAGCCAGTTACTCCAGTAGTCCGGAGGCTACAATCTCCGGTAGCCACAGTGCGTGCTGCTCCTGTTGCCCGTGTGTCTGCAGCTTCAGCCGTTGCCTCCTCTCTCCTTTCCTATCAGTCTAGCCTCCTCCTCCTCACTTGCCCTCTGTGACTGCCTCTAGCTTTGCTTATATTTGTGAACTATAAACTGCTGCTGCTTGTACTTGTGCTCACAATGTGTGGTGACATTGTGATCCACCCTGACATTGTGTCTTGTTGTGCTGATTACACCCCACTTTGGCTATGGGGGTGTGTCAGAATGTTATGTTTTGTCTAGCCTGCAGTGGGATACTCAATAGTGAGTACAGCCCAATTTAGGGTTTGCTATATGTACTCAACTGCTTGCTAGTGAAACCTCTGTTTCTCATTTCTAACTTCATTCCTGCTGTTTCTTAACAGATCTCAGCCTCACAACTGGAGCCGAGAACTGAAGACGAGCGTGTAGAACGCCAAGAAACTGAACCAGAGCCAAGGCTGAAGGTGTAACCCTGTGACGACCGCTGCGTAGCGTGGTCGTCAACCCAAGAAGCGTCCGAGTGACCAGTGAGGACAACGTCACCCCGTCCTCCAAGCACGAGCCCCATGCCCGATGTACTGCACAAGTAGCATAGTACCCTCTTGGCAGCATCCATGTGCACCTTTCGGTGCCGACCAGGAGCCACGTAGCGAGCCAGAAGGCCAAGAGGGTACGCAAGGTCAGGACGAGTGCAAGTCATCAGGTACATGAGGCAGCCCACTAACTCTGGGTAAGGACCACTCGACTCTACGGACTCGTCCGAAGGTGGAGCTGAGAGCGAGTAACCTGTAGCCAGAGGAGTGGCCTGTGCTGAGGACCAGGTGAAACCGAAGCGCTGAAGGACCTGCTGCACCATGTGTGACTGAGTCAGTGTGATGGTGCGGCGTGCTCTGTCCCGGGTGATCTGCAAGCCAAGGTAGCTGCGCAGTTCACCCAGGTCTGTGCACGTGTGTCTCTTCTGCAGCTCCGACTTCACCAGGGCGAGAGCCTCAGTGTCAGCAGTGGCAAAGACCAAGTCGTCGACGTACACGAGAACGTAGAACGGCGGCAGCGAAGTGTCGGTGCGCAAAAACAGCGACGGGTCAGCAGTCGACGGAGCAAACCCAAGAGCCGCAAGTGTCGTCCTCAGTGTGTCGTGCCACTCACGTGGCGCCTGGCGGAGACCGTAGACCGGCCGCCGGAGGCTCCACTGGGTACCAGGAGGGAACGACCCAGTGAAGCCAGGAGGGCGGCGCAGCCAAATCTCCTCGTGCAGGCTGCCCTGTAAGAAGGCTGTGCTGAAGTCAAGAGAGTGAAGCTCGTAGTCACGCTGAGCGGCAACGTGCAGCAGCACCCGAAGAGTGGTCATCTTCGGGGTGGGGGAGAAGGTATGGAAGAAGTCAACTCCCTCTCGCTGACTGAAGCCTCGAGCCACGTAACGAGCCTTGAAGACAGGCGGAGAACCTGGCGGCCGCTTCACCCTGAAAATCCACATGCCACTGACAATGTTCGCCCCAGGAGGGGGAACCTCGTCGACGTAGGTGCCTGTGGACTTCCAGGATGCCATCTCTGCGTCCATGGCTGTCTGCCACTGAGAGGAGTACTCACCCGCGATCGCCTCAGCGTAAGAGCGCGAGATAGGGATGTCTGGTGCATCCGGGTCTCCCTCAGGGGGAAGCAGCATGGATACGAGATGAGGCGCAGCAGCTGCAAGACACTCAAGGTCCTCCTGCCTGTCCTCAAGGACGTCCGTGCCAAGAGCACACTCACCCCCGACGGACGGAGGACAGACAGACGTAGACTCAGCAACAAGACTGGCGGCGTAGTCTAGACGACAGTGAGCAGCAAAGGCAACAAGCTCAGTGACTAAGGCAGACGCAGCAGCAGACTCAAACGACGGGTCAGTGACAACACTGGCAAGCAGACGCGTGACAGTAGAGTGCTCAGCACGAAACCGGTCAGACGCAGGGTCAGCAACGACAGGCAGAGAGGACGCAGGGGGAGGCGGCAGAGGAACACGCGGGGAAGGAGAGGAAGGACGACGAACTACAAGGGGAGGGCCGGAGACAGCCGGCTGGCACTGACGAGGAACACGACGACCGGGACTGACAGGGGAGACAGGCCGCGACACAGGCTCACGACGCTCTGCAAGGCCACCAGGCTGCTCTGTGTACGGAGAAGGAGCAGGCAGCGGTGAGCCAGGCTGTAACGGAAGACCAGTAGACGAGGGAAGACTGAGAACCTGGCGAAGTGCAGAGTCAGGTGGTGGCTGAGACGACGGAGACGGCGGAGCAAAGAACAGGCGCGGCTGCGCAGTGCCACCAGCAGCTCCAGCAGCTCGAGCAGCTCCAGCACCCCCAGCAGCTCCAGCACCTCCAGCGGCTCCAGCACCTCCAGCAGCTCCAGCACCTCCAGCAGCTCCACCACCTCCAGCACCTCCAGGACCTCCAGCAGCACCACCACCAGCCCCAGCAGCTCCAGTACTCCCAGTACGAGGACCTCCGGGACCAGCGACACCAGGAGATGAACCACCAGTAGGAGAGCCCTGAGGTGCAGAAGTGGGAAGCCGACGGCGACCGTACCAGTCGTGCAGCTGCTGGGAGGTGAGGGGCACACGCGGACGAAGACGGCTACTCCAAGGAGACCGCGTAACAGCAGTCTCAGAACCCTCAGGCAACTCACCCCCAGACGCAGCACTCCCAGGCTCAACACACACAGGCTCAGCACCCCCAGACGCAGCACCTCCTGACGCAGTACCCCGAGACGAGGCACCTCCAGGCTCCACACGCTCAGCGCCCCAAGACTCAGCACCCCCAAGCTCCGCACCCCCAGGGACAGCACCACTCCCAGCAGGACCGGAGTCACCAGTGACCTCAACAGGCGCAGGCGCGGGGGGGTCTACCTGAGAGACACCTGAAGGAGCAGGACCTGGCGCGGGGAGGGGGTCTACCTGGGGAGGACCTGGTGCGAGAAAGAGCGGCGGGGGGGGGCGAGGAGCAGTGCGGTAGGGGAAGAGGCGGTAAAAGGGGACGGACTCGTCAAAGGTGACGTCCTGAGACGCAAAGACACGGCGCGAGGCGGGGTCGTAAAACTGCCAGCCAGGCGCGTCAGGGACAAAGCCAAGGAAGACGCAAGGAATGGCGCGAGGGGAGAGCTTGTCCGCGGTGGTATCGCGGACAAAGGCACGAGCACCCCAGACCCGAAAACGCGACGCGTCGCCAACCTTCCCCGTCCTCAGCAGTGTGGGCGAGGTCTCCGGCAAGGAGACACGGGGCCAAAGGTTGAGCTGATGCGCGGCGTACCGGACCGCAAACGGCCACAGAAAATGGGGGGCAGCCGCATGGATCATGGAGGTACGAGCGACCTCCATGACTAAGCCAATGCGGCGCTCAGCAACCCCATTTTGCTGCGGAGAGGCCGGAAGCGTGAA